ATGAAACATATGACTTCACAGCTTGCTAATATCACAATTATCGCCACATGTTGGATGCCATTTTCATTTCTGTAGTTCTAAAGCACGATGTAAAATTGAAAAAATTAAATAACCAAAGCATACATGTATACTGTAAATTACATTATTTTCACTGAAGAAATGAATCAGTAGCATTAAAATCCATATTCTACATTTTATGTTCAACTCATCAAGAATCAGTGAAAATAAACTCCATACAAAACACACAAAAAGTATTCTCAGCAAAAATTAATTCCAGCTGAAATACCGGTAAAGTATTTTACAGTAGGACAGAATAAAATAAACCCAAGTTATGTCATGACATAGTCCTTGTTAGTTCAATAGTAAACAAAACTGAAACTTGAAACAAACGACATGATGTATAATGTAGTTATAAAGATTGATCAGTCATTGTATATCAGATACATGGCTTCAGAATAACCTTTGTATTGCGCTATTTTGAATCGGATCTGACAAACATAGTCCTGCTATATTATATGTTCAATGTATGTACCAAGATGAACAAAACCTGTCCATGTATACCCAAGATCTGGGTCTGTTATAATAGAAATGCTCGACTTAGATGCATTTTTAACATTAAAATGGCAACCAGTTGGACATCTTGAAATAGATCATCAAACAAATTAATGTGTAACAACATGATGTATAGATCACGTTTGGACATGATTGGTGAAAGCATCTCAGAGATAAGATTCTGGAGCAGTGTTCTTTCACAGAAAATGGATGATCACCACGTATTGTGCTTGTCTAGAAATGAGTTTACCTACCTGTCACCAGCAGTAAGAGCAGCAAGGCATTCTTCCCCAGGGGCAGGTTGGGCATCACTATCCAGTATGCCCTGTAATTGTCTGTAGATGAAATCATGACAAATTATTTTAAGTCTGTCTGCACAAAACTAAAGATTAGTACATCAGTGTCTGATGTGGCATTTACAAACAAAGTAAACATATCTATGATAATGATGACAATTTTCTGATTTAAAAAAAAATTAATGAGTGAAAATGTATTCTGTTCACAATTAAGCTTATCAAAGGTTATCAATCAAAACATTAATATCACATTTTCAGTTGCCTTGGTTTCAAAAACATGTTGCTGTCCAAGCGTTGAATTACAAGTTTGTCTCAACATAGAGGGCAGTGTACATCTAAAGAGAGCGCTATTTTGTAGTTCAATACAAAACGTGAATATCGCATTCCTAGTTGACATGGTTTCAGGAACATGTTGCTTTTCAAGCGTTGAATTATTAGTTTGTTACAACATAGAGGGCAGTGTACATCTAAAGAGGGCGCTATTTTTTAGTTAACAAGTCACTGAAAATGACACAGTCCCCGTTAAATTTTTGAAAGTTCTCTTTGTGCTCGTCATATTAAAGCGGAGGGGTTGTCGCGAGTGTGTCCTTGAAACTTGAATTCCAAGTGGCGTATACAACAGATTGTTTATTTACATCAAAACACGTGTTCTGTGTAGTAGTAATATGGCCAAAAAAAAAACAGCCATTATTCGGCCATCTTTGATCTGATTATGAAACACACTGATATGTATGATGTACAATGTATGTGCCAAATACGAATGAAAATGGTACATAAATTGTGGAAATATAATAGTAAGGCCAAAAAGTTAGATGGCTGTCAATCGGCCATCCTTGACCAGATTTTGAAACAAATTGTCATGGACATGCATCCTAACATGTATAAAGTACATGTACATGTATGTGCCAAATTTGAATGAAAACTGACAAAGCACGTCCAAGATACCGCATACAAAAAATAAGAAAAGATGCCAGCCAGTCGACCATCTTTGATCCAATTGCAAAATAAATCGTCATAGACATGTATCATAACATGTATGATCTATGTACTAAAGTTGAATGAAAACTGACAAAGCATGTCCAAAATACAACATTTTCAAAAAACAGGATGGCTGCCAGTCGGCCATCTTTGATCCAATTATGAAATAAATCGTCATGGACATGTATCTTAACATGTATAATCTATGTACCAAGTTTGAATGAAAATTTACAAAGCATATCCAAAATACAACATTTTCAAAAAACAAGATGGCTACCAGTCGGCCATTCTGAATCGAATCGCTAAGCCACTGCATGTGCATATGTCCCACATAAAGTACTAGGCACATGCAAAGAATGAACGGAATCGGTCCAAGGGATTCTGACATATGACTCCGGACGGAGACACAGACGCACAAATGGACAGAGACCGAATTATAAGTCCTCGTTTTCAGACTTCGTCCGAATGGGGACTAAAAACCAAATATGAATATCACATTTCTAGTAGACATGGTTTCAGGAACACATTGCTGTCCAAGCGTTGAATTATGAGTTTGTCATAACATACAATGTAGAGGGCATTGCTAAAGAGAACAATATTTTCTGTGTGAAATATAAATGCACATAAATATAACTTACTTTTCTAGTTCGCATGGTTTCAATATTTTGTTGCTGTCCAAGTGTTGAATTATAACTTTGTAATAACAACCACCACTATATACAACAATGTGTTTGCTCGTTTTAAAATGGACAAGCTTGTCTGTTTCTGGGCCGGGTATACGTGTAGTGTTGAACAGTCTTTCATATTGCCAGGAACACAGAGGAACGTACTTGTTTAAAGTTAACTGCCAAATAAGAAAAGACAAAAAAAAATATGACATTATCTGCAACGTTTTCAAGATCTACAAATATATGGTAAACATTGGTGATAAAGTAATCATAACAACTACATTCGTACAAGTACTTTGTTTTATTGTTTTATGAAAACATCAGTTAATCCTGTTTACTGATAGTTAAATAATGACTATGACTACTATTAACTATAGTAATACTACATTTCGATTTATCCCACTTGTTCAGTTCGTTCAGAACTGGAAAAGAACTGTTTTTGTTTCAAACAGTACTTATTTACTAGTTTCTTCATTCTTGACATTTACTGGAAAGAACTTTTTCAGAACAAGCTTCTACCTCTTGTAGGTGACACTACTATTTTTTAGACACCCTGGATTAGAAACCATTGATTTTCAGATTGGTATACTGCGTATAGATGCATGGTAACTTTAATTAATGATATATGCTGGTATTTGGGAAAACGTGTAGTTTACTACATGTTTGATACGTGCAGTTTTTACGGGTCATTTGCCATTGTCCTTCGATACACAAACAAGGCTCTAGTACGTAACACACAACCTGCAGCAAGGCTGGAGATAAATTGGACCTAAATATTGAGAGGAAAATTTTTAAGATAAAACACAGACCCACTGTCTACTCACCGGTTTCAACTGCTGTCTCTCTATTGTCCTCCTGAATTTCAGAAGACCAATTATCATATTAGCGGCCCGGGCAGCTTGTATACAAGTTGGCTTAGAGTGAATAGCATCCTGAGAAAATACAATTATATGAAACAGATAAAAAACATTTGTTTGTATAACAATGAAAATGATTATGAATGAGTTTTTTGTAGGATTTTTAAGAGCACATCAACACAGCAATGTCGTATGTCTTATGCATGACCTCTAAAAGGTCACACATCCTGGCACTATTGAGGGTACATGTATGACAAATATATATGGCAATATGCAATGTCTTCAATCAACACTGAGAATGTTTCTATCTGCAAAATGCCCCTGATAAGACTCTGTATTTCAAACCCATCCAAGTTTGTAAAACTATATATTGATCCACCTTGAGTAGACCTTTGACATCTACTGTTACTGGCATAACAAGAAAACCCCAGCATCTTACACGCATCTGCATTTGTGCTCCAGGTATTATATTTATGCATTTTTAATGAGGTCACATGACCACATATGGTTATTAAATATGTTGATCAGATCGTGAGCCTGATGTTTAATAAAGCACTGGTTGAATGTCTCTATCTGCAATAGTGCTCCAGATATGGGATTTAAGCATTTTTATCAAGGTCACATGACCACGTATGGTTATTAAATATGTTGATCAGATCGTGAGCCTAATGTTCAATAAAGCACTGGTTGAATGTCTCTATCTGCAATAGTGCTCCAGATATGGGATTTACACATTTTCATCAAGGTCACATGACCATGTATGGTTATTAAATATGTTGATCAGATCGTGAGCCTAATGTTTAATAAAGTACTAGTTGAATGTCTATCTGTAATACCTGTAATGCTCAAGATATGGGATTAATGCATTTTTATTTCAGCCTCATTAACATATTTAGCACGCAATGTCTTCAAGATAATACAATGTGAATGTCTCTATTCAGAAGAATGCTCCTGATAAGATTCTGTACATAGAACCCACCAATATCCATTGAAACTATTCATCAACCTTAGGCAGGTCATCGACATATATAGCATACAATGTATAAGCAGGTCAGTGACATATCTATAGCAGGTTATTACTGCAGGTTATTGGCATAATAAAAAATCCATCAGAGATGGCAAATTGTCTGCATTAGCGATCCAGATATTATCACATATATATATACCGTATTTCCCCAATCATAAGTCCAGGGACCTAAAAATTAGGGGGTGGGCTTATACTCGAGGACGACCTCAGAAAAAATATTTTTTTTGGGGGGGGGGGGGGTTAAAATAGTAATCATCTTCCCACCCACAAATAATTATCCAAATTACATTTTTCGTTTACATCGCTGGTCTCGGAGAAATACGTCTTTATGAAGAAAAAAATGCGAAACGAGTAGTCATTGATTTCAACAACACTTTTTACAATGAAGAAACAAACATGTTCATAAAAATACACACATTTTATTACAATACAGTTTACATACTGCCTGAATTTACTGTGCAAAATTGATAGGGTATGTGGGAAAACAGTCGAAGGCAAGTTCTTCATCATTATCTTTGTTGTGGAATGTTTTCAATCGCACGATCTTGTTACAAAGCCATGGTGTTTTTCATCATGATTTGACCTGAACAACTTCCTTTGATCTAACAGGTCACGTAGTTTGTTAACCAATCAAAATGCTGTGTTGATTAAGTTTCCGATTATTGACGAAGTAATTTTTTTAACGCAATGCGAAAATAAATTATCGTGATGTTAAAATGCGATCTGTTAACACTGATTTTCTCTAAAAGCTGTTGATTTCGCAATTTTTGCAAGGATGGAGGAAGTATTTAAACCTTTCACGGTCGCCAACAAGTCATGTCGAAGAATAGTTTGCTCGTTCACACCCCATTTAAGACACAATTATTCGGAAAAGTAAAACGATGTTCAATGACGAGGTTTCACGACTTGAAGATAACATTTTTGGCATTTCTACTACTACTCAAAAGAAATATGGATTACTTCAGTATTGCAAAATCGGGATTCATCCTGAGTAAATAGAATGGAAAAGGTGCGAACCATTGCCTGCCATGCAATCTGAAATTAATGCGAGTTTTCTCGTAAATGCAGGAACCGAACTACCATACCTATCACAATTATTATGCAATGAAATATACAGAGGGGTGGGTTTATACTCAAGGAGGGGCTTATGCTTGGGGAAGTATAGTATACATATATATGGTCATTATAAATACGTTGATCAGATCCCATGATCTATGTTTTCAATAAAGCAGTTTGAATTTCTATTTCTATCTGCAATATTGCTTCAGACATGGGATTTATGCATTTTTAATGAGAACAATTGACCATACATGTATATGTTTATTATGAATAGGTTGATCAGATCATGTGACCTATGTCTTCAGTAAACCATTGTTTGAATGTCTATTTGCAATAGTGCTCCTGATATATTATATTTATGCTGGGTGTATATGATAAAGGGAAGTTGTGCAACCAAATTTGCCGAGTTCGCAGTTTTTCGCCAATAAAAAAATAACTAAGGCAAAAACTCATGGTATTTCAGCATTTTTGTAATAAAGAAATTATTCTCTATCAATAATCCGCCCAAAACAGGAACATTCCTACTAATTCTTGTGTTTTTTCGACGCTTTTTGAAAAACCTGCGATTAGGCTGCGAAAGTAGAACATTCCGGAGGGGGTGAAACGGAGGAGCCAAACCTAACGCGGTTTTTGACCTCTACGTGGCCAACCAATGGCTGGACACGGATACGTTTGCGGTCGTTGCCAAAAAGCCCTGCGTCCATCGCCTGGTGATGCTCTTCCGTTTCACCCCCTCCAGAATGTTCTACTGACTGTGAACGGGAGCTAGCACTTTTGAGACATCACATTGTAAACTTGCTACTTTCTTTCCATCCTTCACCACAGCTATGGCATAATACTGTCATGTGGGA